GCCACCCTGCCAGCCTCCCCCTGTGGTTTGAAGCCCGGGCCAAGAATTTCCTTGGGAAAACGTGGGCAGCAGCCAAGGGAAATGGGGGGCAAACCGGAGGCGAGGTGGACACCTTGCCAGCCTGCCTGTGTGCCTGGCTGCCCTCCTGCCTTCCCAGCTCTCTGCCCCATCCCTTCTCTGTTTGCCACAGGATTTTTTCCCCCCCTTTTCTTTCTCTCTTTGCTGGATGTTTGGGGCCAACCTGCTAAAGAAGCAGCTACCCTTTTTCCAGGGCAGGGGAAACTGAGGCACATGGAGGACTGCCACGAGCTCTTTGCAGGCAGGGATGAACATGAAGCAAAACCCCGGCCCGAGAGCATCCCCGGGCAGGAGCGCTGCCCTCACGCTGCGCCTTTCATACCGGAGCCCTTGATAAACACAGCAGCTGTTTAACATTACGGGGTGACGCGAGGAAAGCGAGTGCGTTGGCCAGGGGAATATTTCGGGAGGCTGCCCCGTCCTCTGACCTCTCGCACCGAAGCGGATGCAGGCTCGGGGGGGTCACCCCCGGGGGGCCACAAAGCGCAGAGGAAAAGCACCAGCAATGCCGGCATCAACGCGGGTCCCCCTTCGCTTTGCAAAGATCCCCTTTAATCCCACCCCAGTTGCCTTCGGGATGGGCTGGCTCCTTTTGTCAAGGGATTAAGCGAAACGCTGCGAAATATCCTAAAGGGAGGCTGGGAGCCGGACGTGAGGGGGACCTAAGGCTCCAGGGTGGCTTTGGCTTTACTTTAACAGTCAATCTGAGTGTGGGAGAGCCAGAGCGGGACCCCAGCAGCGCCCCGTGCCGCACACTCCAGCACCCATCTGGCCTTAGAGGGAAGGGATTGCAACAGCACTCCTAAAACCTCGTAAATCTGCCTGGAAAAAACACAGAAGCCGGGTAAGGAATCCCAGCTTAATCAGACCGAGCTGATTTTTGCCCTGGTCCTCAGTCATTACCAGCTGTTGGAGTCAGGGATTGCAGATTCCTCGCTTGCAAGAGCAAGGGGGGACGAGAAGGGGATCGTTGCCATCATGTTTGCAGAGGAAAGCTTGGAAACGCGTCTCATCTGCACCCAAGGGACTGGAGAAATCCCACCGCAGGAATCCGATTCTGCTGCCAACCGGCTGGGGATGCTGCGGCCGGTTTCTGGAGCTGCCTGTTGCTTTAGGTGTCTTGGCAAACGTCCCCCCCGAGAGTTGCAGAGCATCTCTGCAAGTGCAGCCTGCGCTGCAGGTGCTCAGCCCAAACGCCCTTTCTGCTGCACATCAGAGGGATTAGCCCCTACACCGCCTCCTGCCTCAGTTTACCGTACTCAACCCCCTCACTTAACTCTGTTAGTGATGCTCACCATCTTTTTTTTTTTTTTTTTTCTTCTTCCAAGTATTTTGGGTCCTCTGCAGGGAAAATGCGAAGCATAACTTGTGTATCCAGCCTGGAGCCTCGCGCCCACCCCTATATAAAGGGGCTCTTCCTAATCACTGCAGGTCTCATCCTGCCAAGTCCTCCCCGACCTGCCAGCTGCTCACAGGTGGTATTGCTCAGCACTGTCCTGCTGTTAATGCCCTCCAAATACCCCATCTCCTGCAAGCATCGAGGCAGAACCATGATTAAACCCCCAAATTTCAGGTCTGGTTCTGCTCCCCCTTCATCATTTCCTCCCGCTTTCCGTGGATGGAGGTAGAATTGAGCTCTTGTTACCTCAATTAGGTTAACAGCTGAGCTTATAAGGCTCTGATTGATTAGAAATCAATCATTAGTAGCATCTTCCAAACAACAGCACGACATCCATTATAACTTGCAATGCATCTTATAGTGACTATCTTCTACTTGAGCTGTTACAGCTTATGCAAGAAAATAACTGGGACTACAAACAATGCTTGTGACCTTTAATAAATATTTGGTAATTAAAGTGTGGTTACAGGAAAAAGTCACTCTATAAATATGGTTTCTTCTGACCCAACATTTCTGCTCCCTGGGCATCTCCTAGTTAGCTCTGTAAAAATCTCACCAGTATGAACAAGCCCTCACTATTTTTGGCCCACAAAATGCAGGTATTTAGGGAGAAGTGAGGTGGCTGCTTGGTCTCCTGAGTCAGCAGCAACCCTGCTTCTCCCTGCACTTTTGTTGCTGAGAACAAAAG